GACTAGGACAGGGCTGCCCTAAAGACAAGGGCCTGGATAGTTCACCTTGAGGGGGGTTTTTTTGGTGGTGGTGGTAGTGTTGTTTAATGTTTTGCTTACTCTGCTGCACTGCAGCTACACTGTGGCAATGACTGTTGAGAAAGTCCTGTGTCAGCTCCCTCCTGGCACTCAAAAAGGGCACATCACTTGCCGCAGAAGAATTTTCTTCTATTGGCATTCTAGATCACGCTATATACTCACGCTTTAATTAGGATTATCCCACTTTCGCAACTCCTTGCTATCCTCATCTCATCTCAGCAAGAAATCCCTCCCACAGATTTCCACATGCAATTCTCTTCCAGCACACAAGCATGGGCAGTGTGCTTGGTTTTAATAGATGGCTAAAGGTCCCGCCACTTGGGACACAAGGGTGAGGAAATGAAAAGTGTGGAGCACGAGTGTGTACAAATGTGTCCTTGGTGCAGTTCGGAAGTGAACCGGCCGCAAATTGCATAGCCGACTCAGGTTACAGGGAGGAGGAGACTGGGGGGGGGGGGGACTCGCAGGGCAGGGGCCCAATAAAAAGATCTGGAGGGCCACGGGTGAGGGGCAGGCAGGGAACACCCTCCCACATATCCACTAAAGGAAAGCCAGAGAGGCAGGCGGTAAGGTTGCCCTCACCTTCTGGAGTACGCGCTGGTGAGTATGAGGGATGTAGTGCCCCATGCACCAACCAAGTGCCAGGGGGTCCCCCCAGTTCCCCCCCAGTGGTAGTCCAGGAGGTCTCTGATTCTGGTGGCTCCTGCCAGGGACCAACTTCTGGCACACCGAGGGGGACTCCACCACCTGCACACCAAGCTGAGGGTTGTGTGGCAGGGGCTCCATGAGGATATCTACTCCCTCGGTGACCACCATGGAGCTGGTCACTGAGACCAGCTTCCAGGTCTGGAGAAGGTCCTGGTAGAAGACCAGCAGCTTGGAGAGGTCTCATGGAAAACTTCTCGGATGAAGAAAAAAGAGCTGCCGGTTATATCAGAGTCCTTGGAGGGGACGGAGGAAGGCATGTGCCAACATGCTCCATGCTGGACTACCTGCACCCTAAAGTAATCTCTGCAGGGCCTGGAGGCGGAAGACATGAACCTGACTGTGAAGGCAGACCAGGCCTTGTCCTTCCTCCTCCAGGGGAAGATTCAATGTCCAGAGTATTCAGCTGGCCTGACTGCACACAGCCTTGACGCACCCCTCGCCTGAAGCTCACAGGTTTGGTCAGGGTCCAGCTGAGCTTGACCCGACACTCCATGGAAGCATACAGCACCTGGAGAAAACCCACAAATCGGGGTCTGAAGCCAAATGCCTACAGAGTGCCCAGGAGATATCCATGGTTCACTCTGTCGAACGCCTTCTCCTTGTCTGGGGACAGGAGGGCAAACAACAGACCATCCCTATTACCGAGCTCTAGGAGGTCCCAGACCAGATAAAGGTTATCAAAGATGGTACGGCCTAGGACAGTGTATAATAATAAATAACATATTGAGATATACCTATCTCATAGAACTGGAAGGGACCCTGAAAGGTCATCAAGTCCAACCCCCTGCCTTCACTAGCAGGACTAAGTACTGATTTTGCCCCAGATCCCTAAGTGGCCCCCTCAAGGATTGAACTCACAACCCTGGGTTTAGCAGGCTAATGTGCAAACTACTGAGCTATCTGGTCAGAATGAACCATCTCCACCAGCATGGATCCCAGCACAGCAGGATGGCCTTTGCTATGACCTTGTAATCTGTGCTGAGGAGCGAGATGGGACACCATTTCCTAAGGTCATGGAGGTCCCCCTTCTTTGGTAGCAAGGTGAGCACAGCTCGCCTATATGACGGGGGAAGCACTCCACTCCCTAAAGATTCGGTCACCATGCCCAGTGACTTATTAGTTGATGAACATTAGATGAACTGCAGGTTGGGAGAGGCTAACCCCTAGCCTGCTCCCCCCTACCCAAGGATCTGCTCCCTTCCCCCGCCGGAACCCCCATCCCCGTGGCCGCCAGCTCCCCCGTCCCTGAGCCCAGGGCGGGTGGTCCCCACTGGTCCCCCCCCAAGCACAGGGCAGGCAGCACCTGCACCTCCACCCCCCCCCAAGTGCTAGGCAGAGCAGCCCCAGGGCTGGGGGCCCCCCAGCGCTGGGCGGCCCCAGCCACCCCAAATCCCGGCCACCCTAGCCCTAGCCCCAGCCCTAGCATGCCGCTTCCCTGAAGAGGAGCAGCTGCCTGGGCTGGGGCCAAGGGGGAAAGGCAAGCAGGGCTTCAGGGAGGAGCGTGGGTGGGGCCATGCCGGGCTGCTTGGGGAGGCACAGACTTCCCCAGCCTATGCGATGCGCCGCCCATGTTAGTGGGCATGAGACGGAGGGCTTCTGAGAACTTGACCACAGTGAGAGGTAGCTCCAGCCAAGCTGGTCCTGGTTGCCCACGCTGACCATTCGGAATCCATGCCAGACCACCCTGCAGGCATCAGTGTCAGTCGGATCCAGGGAGAAAAGGCTGGTGTAGAAGGCCCTGGCTCTCCCACGCATCTCCACCAGATCCGTGAGAGGGGTGCAGTCCTCTGCCAAAAGGCTGTGACGTGCTTCTTAGCCCCCCTCTTTTTCTCCAGGGCATAGAAGAAGCAGGAGACACAATCCATCTCCCGAAGGAGACAGATGCAGGATTGAACAAAAGAATGTAGATGTAGTGCTTCATAGAAGGCTTGAGTAGCCAACTTTGATTTGTGTGATGATTTTAAAATCTAATAAAATGGTCATGAAACATTTTTCAGTTTTTACTATGGTGCCATACAGTCCACCTTCACCCTCACGGTCTCACCCCTCATTGGTCCTGACCCCCCCCCCCATAAATTTGACCCCCCCCCCCCCATTTCAATTCCTGGGGAAAACACTGTCCCCTTCCATGCCAAGTGGGAAGTGCTGAGCCCACGCTTTCCACTTGTTGCACTTCCCTTGGACAGGCACCCCGCTCCCCAAGGTGGTAGTGGAGGTTCACCAGCGTGGGTGGGTCCAGTGAACAAGGCTGATGGTTTGGGGGGGTCTGGGAGGCAAGGGCAGGAAAACAGGGGGAAGGGGAATCTTCCCCTGGGGCGGGCCCTCTCCCAGTGACAGCTCTGCTGCCCTCTCCTCCGCAGGCCCTACCGGACTATGCACAGCGGTGGTGGGGCCCGCCTGCTCATCTGGGTGCAATGGGGGGGCTACCCCCGGGGCCTGAGCGGAAGCGACAATGAGCAAAGGAGAAGGAGGTGTGGTTACGGAGACCAGGGAGTCAGAGTTGCCAGTGGTAATGGGGCCGGCACCCTCCCAAATCTCGGGGGTCCCCAGAGCCCCTCCATGCTGGGTTCCAGATGTGCCCCGTTGCCTGGCAGAGGAAACCTCAGACCACCGAGGAATAATGTACCAGGTACTGGGCCCCCTGATGGCACCAGGAAGGATCCCTCAAGTTCCTTTCCATCACACACCACTGGCGGCAGCTGGATTTGCACCTGCCGGTGGAACGAGAGAATGTGGCGGAGGGCGGGGTCCTTGCAGCCCAACGGGAGAGGGCTGATGACAGATAAAGGCTTCCCCAAGGTAGAGAGGAAGGGCAACAGGGCAGCACTGTGGAGGAAGGGTGGGACAGAGGTGAAAACCACCCATACACCCAGGTCTTCCAGGGGTTCAAGGGGAACATAGATGCCCCACCGCAAGGCCCTTCTTCTCCACCTCCTGGGCAGCGACTTCCAATGTCAGGAAGAAGACAACCTTCCCATACATCTTGGAGGTTGCCACAATGGCTGTGGGCCCCACCACCCATGCCAATGCCCACATGGGTCTCCACATGGGACAAGGCGGACACCAGGAGGCAATGGACACCATGCTTCGTGGTCAGGGTGGGAAAAGGGCCCCGGCCACTAGAGATGGAACTGGGGCAGAGGCAGGGGCAGATGACAGGGCGGTGGGCAGAAGGACTGTGGCCACCTGGGTGTATGCTCTGGGGGCTGGAGGATAGGTGCCCCCAGAGCTGGTGGAGGGAATAGCAGAGGGAAAGGAAGCCATGGCCGAAAGCGGGGCCACTGCGGGGGGAGCGATCCCCACTACGGGGGGCTTTGCCTTCCAGGCGGGGCTCTTGCTCGTCTTCTTCCCCTGGCCCTTTCTTCTGGCTGAGGAGCTCCCTTGAGTGTGGTAGAGGTGGAAGCCGTGGCAGCAGCGGAGTCCCTACCCGTGACCGCTGCTGCCGGTGTCCCAGTGGGGGCGCTGGCAATGGACCCAGCAGCAGCAGTCAAAGTGGTAGCCGCAGGGATGGATGGGGGAGTAAGCTGGGGAGGGCACGGCATCAATCGGAGGGGGGGGGCACCTCCTGTACTCTCCCCTGTCATCCAAGGAGAAGGGACAGGAGCAGGAGCTAACATCAGAGATGGGGGAGCAGATAACCACTCCTCCCCCGTAGGTTGCAGGCAGGGGAGCAGGGTGCCAACGGGGGGGGGGGGGGGGGGGGGAGTCAGGGGGGGGCCAAAGAGGGGGGGGGGGAGGGGCGCGATCCCTAGCACAGGGCAGGGGTGCCAGCTCCTCTGGCTGCACTGGGTTGGAAAGGGGCTGTCAATGAACAGGGAAATCAACAGCAAAAAGAAGCACACACACAGAGAGAGAGAGAGAGAGAGAGAGAACCATCCAGGCCCTTCTCTTTTCGGACTCCACTCCATAGCTTTAGGGCAGCCCTGTCCTGTCCTGCTCGTCCATTGTACAGCCCCCAAAACATTGCCAGGCTTTGTGTGGGAAGCCTCGGGAGGGATTGCTAGCGCCCGAGCGAGCCAGGAGGTGTGGTGCTGCAGCAGCCCCCACGGCGCGGCGGAGCCAGTTCACATGCGAGTCACGCCCGCTGCCGGGAGCCGGGGAACAGCAACACTGGGGCTTCACCAAGTGATGAGAACAGACGTCAAAGGGGCCTTATGAATATTGATGTGGAGGCTCGGGTTGCTTTCGTAAAGGAGCAGAAGGAAGCAAGATGGCTGCCCTTTAGGATTTGTTAGCAAGGGGAGCAGGCTGCATTTGCTGGATTGCTGCAAGGCTGAGGGACATAAAGAGGTCAGAGCGGTTCTCTTAATGCCACGAAACTCTCCCTTTCCTTCAGCGGGGCTTGGCTAGCGTGCTGCTGGGGGCTGGGATGCCGGGCTCCGCTGCCTGATCTACAAGTAGAAAGAGGGGAAGGAAATTTTTCTGAAGCTTCTCCAACATGGCTGACAAATATAGTTTTAAAAATGTTTAAAAACTAGTGAGCTGGTAGTTTTCCTCCGCTGGGCTGGGCTGCTGCTGTCACCCCCAACTTTGCTTTTCAGCTCCTCTCAGCACCTCGGGCTGGCTGGTGTATTTATTTCGTTTTGTAATGCAGGGACGTGTGTTCATCATATCTTTTTTTTTTTAAAGACTTCATGATTCTTATGATCAGTTGTTGCCCCACTTTTCTCCCTTTCAGTGGGTTTCCTTCTTTTCCTGCGCCGAGTCTGTCACTGCATTTTATTGTGTTCTTTAAAGAGCCCCGGGAGGTGTTTTAAAACTGCGGTGGATTCCTGTTTTCTTTTTCCACTTCAGGAGGATTTTTCTGATTGAATGTGATAGCTGGTGGGATTGTCTGCATCTGGCTTTCATGTATTGTTGTTTTATTTAATGCAAAAGGGGTGTCTGGTGCTATGGGGGAGAACGGGGGGAGCAGGAGAGGAATAGTTTCTTTGGACAAAAAGAAAACTCTTCCTTTCTGATAAAGATAGATCCGGTGCCTACAGCCTGGGCGTTCGGGCTAGTTTGGGGGAATATCTGTGAGAGAATTTGTACGTGGAAAGTCTGTTTTCTGGCTTTGTGCTTCTCATGAATCAGCTTTCATTTGGTTTGCTGGTGAGTGACAGACAGACACAAAGGCAAGCGCAGTCAAAGGGGGAAAAGAGGGGGGAAGGATTGTGGAGTTTAAGGACTACAAGGTCAGGGGCACTGAAGGAAAAAAAAAACCAATCCTAGGGGGAGAAAGAGAGGAATGGAGAAGAGATTTGTAGCAAGGCCTTCCTTTTTCTTGATGATCTTTGTCATCCTTGTTAAATCTTGTGATCTAGGCGACTTACACAATGTGACTAAAAAAAATGCTTTATAATGCACATTAGTTTAAAAATGCCTTTAGCCAGGTAAGGCACATACCTACAGTCTGATGGGGAAAAAATCCAAAACATATGATTTTCAGACTTGACATCACTGTATCCTGATATTGTGTTTTTATTAGCATTAAACCATTCCTCCAGCCTTTGCAGTCATTTTCATACCCTTGGTAAAAAGGAGGCTTTTTTGCTTGCTCTTTGATTCTTGGAAATTCAGCTAGTCCTTGTTCTGCTTAGCAGTTTTCCTTTTCAAAGTGTGAAGTGGGGGAGAAAAGTGATGTGGTATAGTAGGCTTCCACTGAAATGTTTCAACCAAAGGTCTCATTATGAGATTATTTTCCATGATGGAGAGTATGCAAATGAACACTGTGATAGAACTACATGATAAGCAACTGAGAAAAGGAACAGTGAATAGCAGTGTGGTTGTATAATTGATCTTAAAACCAGAAATGTAGGAATTTCAGAGATGAGGAGTCAGCCTCAGTAAAAGCAGGTGAGTGGGTGTTGTTTACTGGCTAATGAGGCCATTATATTTGCATTATAATGGCAGGTTGACTTACTGCAGTGGAAGGGATAACATGTATATTCATTTGTGTATTTGCATGTGTATTCCATGATGACACTTGTATTGGAGGCTGTGAATTGCAAAATAGGGCATGTTTGTAAAAGAAATTCAATGGAGAGGTGTTAACAGTCAAGAGTCATGAATAAGTTTCAGTTAGAAGGTGATGTGGATGATCAAAAGGTGAAGAAACCCACACCACAAAGCATACACAACCCTTTTAAATTACACCCCAAAAACTATTTGTTGAACATTTCACTTGTAAATCATTCTTCTACTTATCTTTGAGGAGTTAGGCAAATTTGCTTTAAACAGTGAGTGTCCATCACGAGCTGCTTTTGCAGATTAAAGGGACACTTTACTCAGGTCTCCAGAAGATAAGCACAGTTCATTGGCCAGTCCTTATGGCTACTTACAGTGATGGTTTTATTTTTTTAATGGGTATTTCCCCATCTTAAATAACACATATCACCCAATAAATAAACAGAAGTGACAACCCATTTTGTTGTTTATACGTTACTATTTGTAAATCACGTTGCGTGTATAACCCATCTAATGCCATAAAGAAACACTTCCTTTCAGCTCTTCATTTCTCAGACCTGTAATATTTTAATGTGCTCTCTTCTCTTCTTGAAAGCTTTCTACCATTGTGGATTATTTCCCTTCACTTCTGTGTTACTAAAATATCTAATTTTCAAAGGATTGCACAAAATTAAACATTAATATCATAGATTCATAGATTCTAGGACTGGAAGGGACCTCGAGAGGTCATCGAGTCCAGTCCCCTGCCCGCATGGCAGGACCAAATACTGTCTATGCTTTTGTATCTATTCTTGCGGGATTTGCAGGATTGTGGCATCCTTCTCTTCAATAATAGTCAAACTACTACAAGAAAAACCCAAATATCCCAGAGAGTCTTGATAAATCTGAGTTGAGACAGTTGGATTTATTCCTACTCTGTCAAGCAAATAAAGCTTTTCCCGTTATTTTGTGTAGTCCATTATAATAACATGCAGCAACTACATACAGGTACTATTTAAGTGTATCATATAGTTTATGCTGCTGTTAGCACTGTTACTTTCCTGTAGAACAAGTAAAAGGTAACAATTTGGAGCCAAATAGTTCTCCAATGGGCAATACATTGACTCTCTTCCTTAGTTGCTCAGGAAATATAATGTAGTACCAAAGAAACCCTGTCAGAGAAGTCCATGCAAAACTTTAAATCCAGCAGCTGGGCTGGGGGAAATTTAGTGATTAGTTCTTTATTTTCTTGTTCTTCATTGCATGTGAACAATCTTTCAGTGGAAAACAATTTTGTTTGGAGAAGAGTTCCTCAGAATTATCTCAGTGGTTCCAAGGACCTCTGAGATTAGTTGTGTGTTACCCCTTTTAGAACCTTTCACATACTGAACTAATCATTAATAAATATTGGCAAGAAGGGGTGGAAAGGAAGGGAGGCATTTTCGTTACTTAGATTCATAAATCTGCCAAATTGTTGTTAGTAGTAAGACTTTTGAACTAGGACTTTGGCATTGTATTGGTTCCTGGCCAAGAGCCAGGGGAACTGGTATTGTTTTGATATAGTGCGCGTGGTCCTAGACTTTGGCATGTCAACGTTGTTTAAAGAACAAGGAACGTGTGCCTTCCGAGGCATTGTTATGACGGACAGATTTCCAAGATCTCTTGTTGTCACTGGTACTGCATTAGGTAACAGAAATAGATGGCCATAAATGTCTGGTTTCAGTGTGACGACTCTGGGCACTTTCAGAATTACTCTCCTACCCACCGAGCTAGAATTTTCAGCTGCCACAACTAGAAGGGGCCATTTCCCCTTAATCTGAGCAGTTGCCATAAGACGTACTACAGCTCCTGGGACTTATCCCCCTACCTGATCATTTACAAATATTAGTGACATCTAAATGGTCCTAAAAACAAAGCATGTTTCAAAATAAATGTGCTCAGATTTTCAGTGGATGTTTTACTAGTAGTGCTAATGTTACCAAAATGTTCTGGGAGCTATAGGGAATGTTTCATGTTTGATTTCTTCTAAATTATTTTTGTTTAAATGGCAGCAGAGTCATTTTCTAATAGAGTGCCTAAATAGTCACTTTAAATAATTTGTTCAGTTAAACACTAAGTGGTATATTTTTTTTGTTTTTACAAAAGCAAAGAGGATCTCTTATTAAAGCATGTATTTTTCAAGCTGAAACTTTGGATGAGCTCAAATTCTGGCTTATCAAACTAACCCTCTTCCGCTATCATTTGACTGCCACACAGTAGCATTAAGTGTGGTAGTAGCAGCAAAGCCAACAGCAGCAAAACTTCTTGCAAGCCAGCTTTACAATTGGAACCCTAAAGTGGTTGAATAAAGTTGCCAAGTTTCAAGTAAAGTTGGTGGTTATCTTGGAAACTGCTGCAGAACACAACCACAAGCGATTTCGCCAAATAATATACAGTATTTACGTAGTCCAGCTCTCCAATTTGTTGTTAAGGCACTCTGCCAGCAATCAGTGTTGTGACATCATTTAGAAAGGCTGTGTGCTTGATCCGCTGATTCTGAAATGGAATGGGATGTACTATGATTCAAAAGGGGAGGGGAAATAAAACTATAGTGAACCAGAGATAAAGCATATGACTGCATCATGGCTGGAAGCCAAATAGGAATTATGTGCATCAATCATTTTCAGCATCATTCTGATCCTGTACAGTACGTTACAGCAAACACCCACCTATCCATTTAACTTGTTTCTGGAAGAAATTTCCTTTTATACACTGAATGAGTTTGGTGAGAACTGAACAAACTATCATGGCTTGATTTAGTATGTTTTTCAGATTATCAGTGAGTGCATATTTAATTTACCTAGTATACTGCAGACACAAAGAACTAGAAGGTACCAAGAGTAATGGTCTTCTCAGTGGCCCATGTGGGTGGAGATGGGGTAAGAGATTGGATATCAGAAAGATGACCGTGTTGAGTCAATTACACCTCTACCTCAATATAACGCTGTCCTCGGGAGCCAAAAAAATCTTACCGTGTTATAGGTGAAACCGCGTTATATCGAACTTGCTTTGATCCGCTGGAGTGCGCAGCCCCGCCCCCCTGGAGCACTGCTTTACTGTGTTATATCAGAATTTGTGTTATATCGGGTCGCGTTATATCGGGGTAGAGGTGTACCATAGTCCGAGGGAATTGCTCAATGCATACAGATATCTGAGGTCAAGTAATGAACTTGAAATATCAACTGGGCTAATCCCAAGGGTAATCAATGTCCTGCTGACTAGAAATAAAGGGCTGTTCAGTTTCAAAAGATTGGACATGGGTCTTGTGGTGTGAGGATAGGCAAGTGAAGGAGGGCGGAGGAAATAAAAGTTTCTTAAAGTTT